GAGTTCTGATGAGCTGTTGAGGGCTGCAAGGCAAATGCTGGGCGATGCCCCGCACCCTAACCCCTGCCCTCTGCCACCAGACGTCCCCCTCCCCTTGCCTGTGGAAGTACTCCGGGAAGGGGTTGGCATTTTGGAGCCAGAAAAAAAACAAATCATATTTCTCCCTCACCCCCCGCAAAAAAACCCCCAAACATCTATTATAACATATTTTAATTATTTAAAAAAAATATGTGTCCCGATTTACGTGCGTTTTCGTAGTGTAGTGGTTCTCAGCCTTTTTTGAAGCAGGACCCCTATGTAAACACCAATGGCCAGTTACGACCCAGTGCCCCTCACGCACAACCTGCTACCCCCTGCCCCCAGGTCCCACCCCACAGTGTGTGGGGCAGAGGGAACGCCAAAGCAGCCCCTTGCAGGCTAGAACTCTGCCAGCCTGAAAAGGAAGAACCATGGTTTTCCACGTTTTTCTTCTTTGAAAGGCAAATCCATTTTTAAAGTCTGTTTGTGACCCTTTCATATAGTCTTGCAACCCACTTTTGGGTCACGACTCATAGGTTGAGAAATGCTAGCATAGTGTATATAGAAGTGACTGTATAATAGCTCAAGTAAAGTCTTACTTTTGTATATAGTGTTGAGGGTGGAGTGAGTGTGTGTGGGCTCCCACTGCACACAGCCCCTGCACTGGTGGCAGCAGCAGCAGGTGATAGGCCCTTAGGGCACTCATGGCCTGCGCAGGCAGGGCCCCCAGGTGGTACATGGCTCCAACCAGTTCCAAGATCTGCACATGGTGGCAGGGAGCAGAGCCAAGTTGGCCCAGTTCTATTGTGCAGGGCTCCCAGCAGCTCACGTGCAGCTCCTGAGACAACACCAGAACTGCGCACTGCAGCGGGGAGGCCTACACTATGGAGCTGCTGGCCTGGCCCTGCTGCCAGATACAACTCACAAGACTCCACCGTGAAGTAGGGCTCAGCTGGCCTGGCTCCACAGGGCGGGACACCCAAACACTTCTAGCAGAGTCCCGGGAACTGCACGTGGCAGCAGGGAATGAGGAAGGCCACTGGCACCATCATGTGGAGCTTCCCCCAAGTGGTACACGAATGCCAGGAGTGGCACCTGAGCTGCAAGGAGCCTTACATGATAGAACCAGGCCAACCTGAGATCCCTGCTCCTGCCACACCACTAGGCACAGGCCCAAGCCCTATGCTCTCACCCTACCCGCTGCCAGGAGCACTGCAGCAGTGACAGGAGGTGCTGCTGGAGGAGCCAAGCAGTTCCCGAGGTGGCTGCAGCAGCAGCAAAATCCTACCCGGAACTAATGCTTGCCCTTGGTCTAGCGGCAACCCTGCCTGGAAGCTGTGCTTGCCTCCGATCTAGCTCCATCCTCTTTGGAACCACCTTTCACATAGTTAAAGGTTGCTATCAAATCTCCCCTCAGTTTTCTCTTCTGCAAACTAGATAAGCCTAGTTCCAGTTCAATCTGTTGGCAATGCTCCTAACAGCAGCCAAGCACGATGTTAGCCTTCTTGGCAATAAGGACACACTGTTGACTGGTATCCAGCTTACTTCTCACTAACCCCCAGGTCCTTTTCTGCAGAGTTGCTGCTTACCAGTTGGTCCCAAGCCTATAGCAGTGCATGGGATTATTAAATCATAAGTGCAGGACTCTGCACTTGTCCTTGTTGAGATTTCTTTTGGCCCAATCCTTCAATTTGTCTAGGTCACACTGAATCCTAGCTCTAACCCCCAGCACATCTACTACTCCCCCCAGCTTGGTGTCATCTGCAAACTTGCTGAGGGTGCACTCCATCCCATCTTCCAGATCATTAAAGAAGATACTGAACAAAACCAGGACTGACCCCAAGACACTATTTGATACCGGCTGCCAAGTAGACATCGAACCACTGAGCACTACCCATTAAGCCTGATGATCCAGCCAGCTTTCTATCCACCTTACAGTCCGCTCATCCAACCCATACTTCCTTAGCTTACTTGCAAGGATGCTGTGGGAGAACATATCCAAAAGCCCTGCTAAAGTCAATAAGCATCAGCAGGCAGGACAAAGAGGCATTTCACTCAATGAAACACATCGGTTTTGATGGGACATATCCCAGCACAGCTAATCTGCTTCATTTCACATTTATTTCTAGCCATACCACTATTCCTTATACCACTACAAGATGCTAGATGTTCTGCAACTATTAAATGAGTTGTAGCTACAGCGGTCTCCAGTAGGACAATTAAATACCAAAATGTTTACCGTATTTAGTTGAATAAAAGACTACCCTGATTACAAGACAGCCCCCCAATTAGATTCTATGCAAGGAAAAAAATCATAAAGTTTTCTTGTAATTTTCCAGGTGTAGAATCTAATTATCAGAGGTTTGCCTTGAATTTGTTCCCCTCCCACTGCTAGAGCAAGGAAAGTAAATCTGGGGGAGGCGTCAGGTATCCCCCACCTTTTTCCCCTGGCAGCCCCTTTCCCCCTTCCTTTCTATCAGACCCTGTACTCCCTGAGCACATAGATGTGAGGAACCAATGTGAAAACAATAACCATGAAATTAAACATAGATGTAGCAATCTCAGAGAAAGGGCAACAGAGAGATTCTGGGTGAACTGTTTCGTGCCCGGTTTTGTGATGTTTGCCAAACATTTAAGGCAGGTGAAGAAACAGGAATTACTGGAAATGGGAAAGAAAGGCACAGCTCAGCTGCAGGAGTGAAGAGGAAGTCAAAATGTATGCAATGTAGTGGCACACTTGAAGAGTTGGCGCTGAAGGGGACTGAGCACTACCATATATATTTTGTTCAGATGGGCTGCACTAACCTATCATGTGGGGGTGGTGCCCAGCCAGCTTGCTGGTCCAATACCCAGGTTGACATGGTGCTGCAGAAGCTGCTGGCCCTGCCAGCTGACACTGATACTGTTAGTAGGGCTGGTGACCCCCCTGATGGGGTGGCTTCTGCAGGTGCCCCCTCAGATTCAGGAGGCACCAGTGACTCATGGGGGTGCAGATCAATGTCTCCCCACAGTGAGGGGGGAGGCCAGGCGCTGCCCAGCCGGGTCAGGGGAGGCACACAACTGAGGCGCAACCCATGGGGTGGGGGCGTGTGCCCCCAGATCTGTGCAGGGTGGGCTGCACCTGTGAGGAGGCTGCAGCCATCCCAAATTTTGCCGCAGCTCTGCTCCCAACCCCTGTTGCTGCCCACCGCAGCCATGGCTTTTCCCAGCACCTGGGTGGAGATAGGGTGTTCAGCCAGGGCTGCACCAGGCAACAGTGTGGGACTGGGAGTGGAGCTGCAGGCAAATCTGGGGTGGCTGCAGCCTCCTTACAGTGCCACTGGAGCCCGCTCCGAGCCCAGCTCCTGGCGAGAAGAGCCAGTGGTGCGCGGCTCCAGCTCCACTCCACAGCTGCAGCCCACGCCACACAGATCCAGGGGCACATGCCCCACACCCCCCCAGGGTGCAAGCAGCAGCCACCCTTCTCCCATGAGCTGCACCTCCATCCCACGACTCTTCCCCCCCCACCCCACCTGGCAGTG